ATTTAATTGTATTGTTTATTTTATATATTTACAGTGTCATTCTTTCTATAAAATATAATTTTACAAATGTTCCCTACAGAAATCCTACAATCTCTCTTTACTTACAACTTTGACTAAATTTATAACAGACGAGTCTAAGAAAAAAAAACATGTTGACACAATGTTTTGTCCATTTTGAAGTTTGTTGCTAAGAAGTATCTATTATCACCGCCACGTTCTCGTAATGCAAAACCGATAAAGCGCCAGCTGACTGCAACTTCACGAAAGCACGTGAGCGAGAGCTCACTATGAACTTTGATCAGAGATTTACAGAGTATAAAGTTAATTAATTATCCGTCAATTGAATCCCGTTTTGAAAAGAGTTTTCGAGGAATGTTTACGAATTTAATTTATTGCGTGATTATGCGAGTTTATGAATCAATCAATAGTTGTATTGATAATGTTACAGAGAGCGCAATACATTTTATTGATCGTAAGATTTGGTTTATTGTTTATATGCAAAGCTTTTATGTAGAAGATTGCTACGTTATTATGTAGAAAATACCGATCGCTGTTTTATGTGTATGTAAATATTAACAATATATAAACATTTTCAAAAGCGTCGCTCAATATATGGCGTGAAAATATTCGTCATCGTTCTTGCTCTTCTATTATACCTCACGGAAACGCATTAGAGCTGTCGTAATTACTTATATGTGGACAGCGCAAAGTCAACGTTTAAAAGATGCGACTCGCGTTTTCCATCGCGTACTTGACATAATAACGCGTAGAGTAGAGAACCGTCAGTTTGTAGCGACGTGGAAGCACAACGTGTTTTTGATATTCGTACCAGCGACGTACCAGGTGCTTGTAACGAACACTTTCGCATTACGTTACGGCAAAGTTATCTTTTGTATATATCAGATGTGTGGAGCGCGCGAGTCATATCGCGGAAAATCGATAGATGTTACAATCTTACATTATATATCCAACAACGTGTTCTCTCTTTCATATTTTAGGTACATTAGTTAATTAAATTTTAACATTGTGTACAGAGTGTGTGTAACTATATGTATATTTAAAAGTAACTCGGAAAATTTTGCTCGGTTCTTCGTTGGTTTTGCTTCCCGTGTAGTTTTGTACATTTTATATTAGTATGAAAATCAAGTAATGAATCTGGATACCCAACCCTCGGCTAATCCCAAGAAAGAAAGTTGGGGAAGACGCCAATATAAATAGGGAGATATAATCCCTCTATCTCTTCTCCGTGACTACGCAGATTAATTGTATCGCAAATAAAATATCATGATTTTGAATTAAACACATCCATAACCAACATGTTATAATGAAACAATGAATTTTTTTATTTTTTTGAAACTCTTGTAGCAAATCTTATACAAAAAAAAATTTGATTATTATCGGCAGCAATCTGGAAAAAGAATATTTTAATGAAATGAATTGCCTGTTTTGAGTTACTTTTATAAATATTATGCTGTAATTTTTTATGTGAAAAAAGAACAAAATATCAAAGGTTGTATGTAAAATAAATGTCAAAAAAAAAACCGTTCTCTTCAAAAGTTGTATAGATTTAAATTGCATGGACTAACTTTTAAGTGCACTTATACCTACTATTTAATTAAAAACAGTTACGCAATTATATGCAGTCTGAAAGCGAACTTCGGCAAAAGCATTATATCAATTCAGTGTTCTTTGAAATATGATTTGGACTGCATATCGCGTGTTCTCGGGTATTAACAAAAAAAAATCACTGTGATGTAACATTTTATGACGGTAGATGACGACAGTTGAAATTCGCTTCGTTAGAAGTTGTGCAAAATAAACGAATCATCGAAAACATATAATTCGATTTACAATCTTTATCTCTTTTTCTCTCTATCTCTCTCTCTCTCTTTTCTTCACAATCCACAAATCGCTGTAGAGGAAAATCTAATTACAACTTCGAAGACGAGATCTCTCAACATGGTGGAGAGGAAAAGTTGTTAAAATAAACAAGTCTGATCTGGCTGTTGCATACATTTAATTGTATATATGTATACACGTAGTTATTTTCTCTATAATTTTACAAATGTGAGAATTTTCCCGCAGGACTCTTATAATCTCTTTACAACAAGCTCGACTAAATTTACAACAGACCGAGGTCAAGAAAAAAACATGTTTTGTCCATTTTGAAGTTTGTTGCTAAAAAGTATTTATTGTCAACGCCGCGTTTTTTTCATAAAGACTGATTAAACGCGGAAACAAGACAAGAACTAGACGACGCACTGTTGTGGAAACGCAAGTAAGGCGTTTTCGAAATTTAACGATTTGTTTTACGATGCTTCTTATAAGTGTTTCGGTCCTGTCTCGGTTTTCCATTCACCACCGTCAGCGCGCCAACTATCTCGCGATGTGTCACGTGGCAGGACGCTGAAATTACGCCATTAATTTAACGAGAGAGAACCGCCCCACATTTTCTCGGTAATTCCAGTTCTCCGCTATCGCGGAGGACATGTGGGAAAGCTGCATGTACTCCGGAAGTTTTGAGGCCCGAGGGTCTCCGCACAGAACAACCTCCTGTACTTCAATGTGCATATTCGATATTTTCGATCAAATAAATTGTATTATTTTACCTCACACTCCGATGAACACGCTAAATAATGAATTAAATAACGTTGTTAACAGCACCGCAAAAAGCACAAAAGCTTTTGCGTCATAAATATTTTTCTACCTGCGGGCTACCGGATGCAAATTTCGGTTGCCAATCTCTCGAGAAGCGTATATTTTATTTTGTATTTTGATCGATGTACATATACATTACGAAGAAATAATACTGATATTTTGGCAATAATAATACTAATAATAATCATATCGACAATAACAACAATTGCGACAAATAATAATAACATAACAATAGTATTCTCGTGAAAATTGTGATTTGTGTGACTTAATCTGACAAATGTTTGCAGAATCATGTTATCGATCGCGAAATAAACAAAATTCGAGTTACCGCACAATTTGCATAAACGTTCGCCGATATAAATGCCGCAACTTGTTTCATCTTCTAGTTTTTAATTTAATACATGGTTACATTGATCTATTTTTCTTCTTAACTTTTGCGTAATGATGCTGAAAGTGTACGATCGACTGAACCGCTGCCGCGCGTCGCTTCTGCGTTTGACAACGTCATGAGCCGGACATAACAGCGGCCGATCGATAACATCCGCGTCCAATCAAGGAATCAATTGAGGTTCTTCTTTGAGTATTTTATTATTATAATTTTAATTAGTCCGGAGAGAGAGTTTGCGATATACACCATTAACACCGCTCCGTTTTTTCTCTTCGTCTTATATATATATATATATTTTTTTTTTTTTTTTAATCGTGAGCGCGAACGTTATTCGCGCAGAAAAATCTTCTTTCTGAATTTTCTTTCGCCGCGCAAAAAGAACTTAATGCATTTTTATTTCTTATATTCTTCCTTTATCTCTTCCGCGCGCGCGAGTTCAAAAACATTAAAATTACTTTCATTGCGCGATCACGAATTCACGAATACAACCGGCGTCGAAGACACGTCCCTCTCCGAGGACGAGCACATGCCAATGTTCATAAAAATGTTCACGATGTCTCCGAAACTTTAAACCACCGTTTATTATTCCGACGAAAGATAGACGAGCCGACCGAAAGTTTCTTGATAAATCATCACAAGTACCTCGAAGAAAGGAGAGAAGCGAAGATAAAAAAGACGAAGCCGCGAAAGCAATAAATATTAATAGCGGATGGTTACTGCATAATCAATCGGAACTTTTTCCAGTTATTTCGCCGGTTTGAAACAATCTCGCTGAGTAGATATACCGGACACTTAGATATACAGGATGTTCCACATTGTCTGAGTTTTTTTTCACGCACGGATCAACTTGAATTAGAGATAGATATACTTTTTTTTTTGAGGGAGAAAAAAAAACGTTTTTTTAAACGATAACTTTGGATTACGCAAGCAAATTGAAAAATGTAAGAAATGTCGCGAATTATTTAAACATGTTATTTCTTATTTCAAACACGTTTGTAATTTAAGTGTGTGTAATTCACTGATTTATGAGATTTTACAAACGCGCGCGTGTACAATGAAGTATGAAAGTTCGATGATGTTATGAAAAAGAAAAATCAGAAGAGATATAAAATTTTTGTTTTATTGCCGAGAAGTCTGAGCTAATCAAACAGTTTGTAAAAGAAGACCTGGGTGAGTCTGGAACATTCTGTACGCTGAGCTTCGTGTAAGAAGTGAGTTATACCGAGAAACCTTTTTAAATCTCCCTTTGTTCATTCTTGTTTCAAAAAAAGAAACAATTACCGGACTTTTTTAAACACCCCCGAGCTGACACGATCTACGGGTCATCGTTTGTGCTTGAAAAAACGTAATTGTCAATTGAACTGTAAAAAAAAAAATATTTTCCCTTTTGTTCGCGAATAAAACAAAAACGACTTCGTACGTGGTCATTACATTCGCGGTAAACTAATTTGTTTTCGCATTAGCGTCGTCGCTGATGCGATTACCTAAATGTCCAATTTAGCGATAATCACTATTATGCTTCCCGTTATTAAAATCAAGTTTGCAAGTATGAATAGCCTCTCGAAGCGCCTTAATCGTATATTTATACGGAACTGCGACAATTATTTATACTCGTTGGGAGAAACGGAAAAGCATCACGCGATAATAATTTCACACATTTTGGCTGTTAAAGTAATAATAGTCGCGTGACAATAACGAAGAGAATAAAGTGTAATTTTATAAATCATTGTTACTTCGTACGGCGTTGAAATTATAATGTTTCAAAATGTTGTATCTCCATTAGTTCGCGCTAATATTTTCCGCCACATTTAATATTGCTGCTGGTGTGTCGTGTAATTTCTTTTATACACTTTCATAAATTTTCCGCGCGATTTACACCGATCGTTCACGCCAATAACTTTAACGAGTCGCGGCATTATCGTCCACGATTTTCGCGTGCCGATGTATTTAAAATCTGTTATAATCGAAATAACTCCACCAATATACTAATATATATATCGGTTCCACGACAATAAATCCCACAATAATAAATATGTATAAGCGTTAGGTTATTAATGTGTAATTCGATATTACAAAATAATGAGCGAGTAATGCAAATATATGTATACTTTGCGAATTGTTTTATCTCATTCAGTCATAATATAAAGCAAACACGCAGCACCACGCGTATATATGATTGTTTTCGAACACGTAATATGAGTAATTATCGTGCTCCGCATCCCAGAGACACTGGAAGGCCGCGTATATACTTTGCTGGAAGCGTTGGACTACGTACACCTGCGTCACCAGTTTGCATCTATAATCGCGCACAAACACAATCATATTTCACTCCATGCAGAAGTGAGAATTAGGTAGAAGATCGAAGCATTTTGTTATAGTTACGATCCGAGATGATGCATGGGAGTTTATAAAATATACGTATATATATATATATGTATATATATATATATAGAGAGAGAGAGAGAGAGAGAGAGAGAGAGAACGAGGAAGGCACAATGTTTTTAGAAAAGATTAAAGAGGAAGCGTCAAAGATAAAAAATGACGCAATTGAAAGTAAATTGAAGTAACTAATTAATTGGCAATTACCTGTCGTAATCTTTCTTGTTGACAGCCTCGAGTACATCGGCGGCAATATCTTTGCATAATTTAGACGCCTGTTTCGGCTGATACGACACGACCGACGATAATTTGGTCTCCATCACGTCATGGATAAGCTTGTCGACCGTTCTCGGGGAAAAAACTTTAAATGGCTCTAAGCGATAGGTGTTCTGATATCTCGGGATCTAGACCGATGACAAGAGGTATTATAGAGCAACGGAGATGAAACTTAACGGATGATAACTTGGCGAATAGTTTAATGGCGATGAAGTAAGCGCGGAAAGCCATTATGCTTGCTATGAGTTATACATCGTGATCGCGGGCTCTCAACGCCAAAATCATCCGTCGAAAAAGAAATATATATATATATATATATCATCACAATAAATTTTTCGGTTTTCGAACAAAATGTTACCCCCGGAGAAAAATTTCAGGCCCGGACGAGAGATCAGAATTTCAGAGGGACAGAGTAAGAAAGAGAGAAAGCGAGAGAAGACCCTCGCGCGAAAATTATGACGCGAAATTTTTATCTACACTCTAATTTTTTACCGGAAATCTCATTTCAGGAGTGAGCGGAGCGATTCTCCAAGCGCATCGAGATTCACCTGTATTAAAACTTGTTCATTTTCCGCGCTCACTCAATTTATTTGCGTCCATCCAATTTATTCCACCGCGCTGTGCGATGCAGAGGGGGGAGGGGGAGGGAAAGCGTACCTTAAGTCGATCCCCGCGTCTGTGAAAGAATAAGCCAGTCCCATTGAAACCAATCATGGAGAGCTTCGACAGCGTTTTTCTCTTGGTCTGGTTCTGTGTGTCCGGAAATAAGAAACATCGTCCTATTTTAGATTTCTCAGAGATACTCTTCCGCGTGCAACACGCTTGATATAAAACTCGGTGAGAGAAAATAAAAACGACGTAACTCAATGTATAGCAAAAAAAAAGCGGGTTTTTCGCTTATAAATTTCTTCTGCCTGATTTGAATATTTATAACGTCACTTTTAACGTAGAATATTAATAAAACAATAAGAAATATTGCGTTATATAGGATGAGAGAGAGCAAGGGAAGTGAAAAAAAAAAACGGAGATGAAACACAGATACACGTCAATAAATATTATTTTTGCCATCCACCTTTTTTCCGATTTCCTTTGAATCCACGAGAGCGCTTATTAGCGCTTTTATTACACAAATGTTTTTTTTTCTCTCTCTTTTTCACAGAGAAATTATGACATTTGTGAAAATAATTAACCTAACATACTCAATTACGTGTACAAACGCGATTCATAACACGTTTGTACACGGGATTACCTCTATGCTATCTGTCAGCGCTTTGCCGTTGAATCGCAGACGCGATAATTTCTTTGCCACCACATCCCACATATCTTGTTTATTCTGGGATTTACTCATTTTAAGTAGCCTGCAGTGACAAGTGACGTGAACGAATTATTCTCGGGAGAGGAGAAGCTGCTGCAAACGGCGGCGCGCGGAACAAAGGACGCTCATCAAAAGAATTTCAGCTACGTCGCTGAAAGGAGGAAATTATTGCAATCTCCGTCCGAAGTTCGCGAGCAATTTCAGCAAATAATTACGCGCTACGCCACGATAAACCGTTTTCTCCTACAGAAACGTCCGCACGCATTCTATGTTCAAATGGGATTGCGATGAATTTCTTTCAATGTCTTTTTCTCGAACGGATATAATAGCTCAAGTCTTTCAACTTTTATTTCTCTCTCGGCTGATGTTTTTACAAATTCTTTTGACAAAAATTACTATTATTGTGTATCTTAATTTCCGAGACAATGTATTTTTCTTTTTTTTTTTTTTTTTCTTACGTGCCATGACCGAAACATGTATAAGTTCTGCCGAGTGGGTCTCACTCACCATATATCTCGCGAAACTTTGAACCCGTCCGATTATCTCAAGATACATCCCGATAAAAGTATCGAGATCGATATCGAGTTCGGTATCGTGGGAATCGACACGGTTTGTCAATTGCAGATGATCCCGCGCCACAAACGAACCGCGTTTATCCCACGCTGTTGCAAACACCGCGATCGATATATAAGAGGGAGTTACGCCTTCGAGCTTGCTAAGCTTGGTACAATAGAACGTTAAGCACTTCCTTTGACAAACCAGGAAAATTTACCTATATAACTGTTCTTAGCGGTGAAAACACAATCCGTTAAAAATTTATTCAATAATCGCTCGCACTTCCTCTCTATTTATCTCGGTAATTTCGGAGATAATACCGTTTTGTATATGCTGAGTTTACAGTAATATATCAGAAAGAAAATAAATTTCCACAAAAAAATTCAATCTGTTTTATTGCATAAAACTAGCAAATAATAAAAAGCTGTAATAATAAGCTGGACGTGAAACAATGGTTTTATCGTAATAGTTTTATTATTATTATGACTAACTTGATAGGTACATTATATAACCTCGAGTTTTTTGCTACAGTCGTCATGTAAAACTGAAATGACATTTTGTCTAACAATAAAATATAAGAGCAGAGAGTTGTAATATAAAAATCTGTTTCAAGGTAATTATTGTTTCACATTCGGTGCTTTATTTTATAACGTCGTAACAGTTATAGTTAACTATAATTTTCTCTCGACTTTTCACCGCGCGCACATCTATGCTGCCGCTCGTCGCATATGGAGCGCGCGCAATAAAATCACGTTAAAATCGTTCCGCTTTCATTCAGCAATCCCTATCGTCGCAAAAAAAAAAAAAAGAGTCGGAAGTTCTCTTTTTGCCGAAGTTAATAAAAGTGCAAGATTGGATAAACAATCGACAGAATTTCCTGAACGATCAGCAGTTACGCGGCTAACTTTCACGAACGTGTCGCCAGAAACTCGTTTGCTAAGTCGATAAAACTCTGGCGTACAAGTATCTAATGCGGCAGGTTTAGTTTCTTAGATGCTTTCCCCCCGACCTAAAACTTTCCTCTTCCGTTCCTCTCCTCTTCTCCTATTTGATTTATACGAGAAGTGATATCGCTATTCGATCGATTTCCCAAAAACGATCGATGCCAATAAAAAGATGTGCGGGTAGAAAAGTACGAGATCATTAAATGCACGATGTTGCGCAGGTCGAAAAATATTTTAGAGAGATACGTTAATCTAGGAAAAATTTTTCTTTCATTTTTCTGTAAAACGCCGTATAAAAATTAGTTTTTGTACATTATAATAAATTATTATTTTGTGTACTAATGTTTGTGTGACTTATTTATGTAAATTTTTATATAAATAATTTGTAATATGTGTTATTATTAAATAGTATTTATTCATAATGTTCCAATCTTCTCGATGCAATTTTTCCGAACTAATTTATTGTATCTATTATTATCGGCAACGATACAGGATTATTTCGTGAAGCAGTGCGGAGTATACATTGTAAGCCGGACGTGTGCGGAGAGAAAATTCGTCGTGGAATTTTCTTTTCCGCTTTCTAAAAATGTGTCTTATATCCGTCCTCATTCTATTCTTTTCTATCGCACAGCTCATGCGGATATGCCATTCGTCCTTCCCCGCTTATAACGGTTGGAGAGTACACGCGAAACTCCTCAATAAAGGCTGCATTTGCGTGTATAGTGCATTCCTCGAATAACTTAACTTGCTCCGCGTGGTTTATGCGATTCACGTCCTTACAGTGGCCGGATCGCGGCCCTCTCCGATCGAACAACATTGTTATATTGATTAAACGATTTCACGATTTTACATTTTGGCGACTTTTAATATCGAAGACGTTATGTTTATTTTGCAGTTTTCGTGATATTTTTTGATATTTCACACGCAGTATTTTTGAAAGTCGGGCTCGGTAATAAATATTATATCAGCGGTCCGGAACGGAGGATGGATAGAGTAGAGGGTCACACAATACCAATTACGAAGCTCGCGAGAAACGAGTTTTTCGCGGCTTTCGCAGAAGCGCCGCACGCCAGGATTTTCGCAGGAATATCTGGGGAAATTGCTTCGCGTTCAAAAGCTTCACGCGATTACGACGTAAACTCGTTCATTACGGCGATACTCGCGTGAGCGACAAGAGTGTGCGCGTTCACAAAAAAAATTTGATCCTCCGACGATTCGCGTAGATAGGTACATAAAACTTTTGTTGAAATAGAACTTATTCATATAGAACCGACTACATCGTCGCCGCAACATTATTCCGTGGTTCTGCGGTATCGAGAAACGAAAATTTGCGACCAAAGTCCGGAAAACTCGCCGAACTCGCAAAAATACTTTTTATCGCGAGATCTATGGGTATTCCGACTTATTCAAAAATGTTCGCCGTATTCTTCGAAGATTTTTATTTTCATGAAAGTTTACGCGGCCACACCTAAAGAAAACGTGCTCGGAATAAATTTTCTATACGTAACGAATGTGCAATATAGCATGTGAAATAACCCGAGCATTGCGCAATATTAAAGCGCGGGTTACGAGAGTTTTCCCAACATCAGTTGGAAACGAGCTCTTTCTCCGCTCTTTTCTATTTTCTCTATAGAAGCTATAACGACACGAAACACTTTAATCTCTGATTGTTTGTAACTCTCGAAAAGCTCGTAAGTTTTTTTTTTTTTTTTTGTTTCTTTTGTTTAGTATGAAATAATACGTAGTAATGTAATTCCGGAACATTTTGCCAAGAATCTGTGTTCTCTCCGGCCAACTCCGAGCGTTTGGTTTCTCCGGAAGATATCGCGCGCAGTAAAGAAGGACAGCGGGCGACAAGGCGAGTGGAAGAGGTCGCCGTTACTCCCGCCATGAATTTGCATCGGTGGGTCGACGCAACGCGCGGCGGGCGATTCCGGTACGCGGTGAGGCGCCTAACAGATGCTCTTGCGCGCGCGATTTGCATGAAATGAGACCGGACAAGATCCGCAGCTCTCCCGCGGGGACGTGCGCGCCAGAGAACGAGAGCTGTAGAAACGTTGCGCTGCTCTCTCCGGCCCAGACGTATGTCGGAGAGAGAACTGCCGTTCCATTATCGGGACAGGTATAGACCGAACGATCTCGGTGACTCTAATGTGCTCCGTCAAGTAAGAAGGGCAACCATTAACCCTCCGCCCATTGGCGAACGCGACGTGAATGCACGTCACGCTCGTGTGCTTCCACGGATTATGTTTTTCCGATTCCTTGCACTTAACGCTCGGCGTGATGGCACACCAGACTGGCCAGCATGATTTTTATATCCGTCTGTTGGTACATGATATCTGCAGACTCTCTCTCTCTCTCTCTCTCTCTCCCATTGCCAGATGTTGCGCTAACACTTTATTTTGTACTTGGAGAAATTGAATTCTTTCCGCTGGCGTCTAAATCCATTTAAAAATTGTATCTGTTTGTATCTATTTCTTTTCCGAACAGTTTATTAGATTGTAAGCAAGAAATACTTTGAACTCGAACATTCAATAATTAAAAGAGAAAACCAGAAGCTCATGAAATACACGATACTGGAGAATAAAAAAAACATTTTCTAAAATATTTTAGAGATTCTTCATTGAACGCATCTAGAGGTAGTGTTTCTTTCGTTTCTCTTAAAATGCTACATAAATTATTCTTTGTATTATACCCCGATAGCCAAATGATAGCAGTATGCCAGCAGTATGCACGCAGATTTAATCAGCACTTTGCAGGAGATTTCACTCAGCTATGTCATCATAGTGAGTGAAGTATATAGGCACGATATGTAAAGAAAACAACACAGCAAAAATATAAAAAATAAATGAAGAATGAAATGACAATAGCACGTTGTGCTTCAAATCTGTTACATTTTTTTGAGCAAGTTCTGCTTGATTGATACAATAATATTTGCATCACGGCGTGACACATTTATATTCTCTTTTTTTTCTGTTTTCCTGTCAACACTAGTTGCAATAACAGATTATGTTTGAATACTGGCTACACTGTACTGGCATAATGTATTATTGCAGACTTTGCAAAATATGCTTATTCAGTCTTGGTTATCTGGGTACCTATACATTATTGTGTGTGTGTGTGTGTGTGTGTGTAATTGTACTGCATGTATTGTAATGCATGTGGCTCGTTTCTTCTCTCGTTAAAAATTTAAAAAACGCACAATCGCATTAGGATCTTCGGAAAAGAAATTAAATATTCTGTTGTAATTGTATCTTTAAATTCCGCGTACATATATTTCGAGACTTTTCGCATCGAGCGAATCATATTTTGACGACGCGTGTCTTATTGGGTCAGTTGACATGACGCGAGAGAATGTTCAACTGTAAGAAGAAGAAAGCCGAACTTTTATCTTGGATTTTTGCATAATAAGAGAAAGAATAAAGAGTCCGCACTTGAGAGAGTTGTCGATTGTTCGAAAAGTCAGAGGGATCGCAGGCGGGATCATTTTGTTAGAGAAAACGTTCAAACATTCAGCATTGAAAATATACGTGATGTGAACTTTGAATTTTTAATACTGACTGGTGAATTTTAGAACGCAAGCTTAATAACGACTTAGTGAATGATGTAACTACAAGCAATGGGCGAGCGCCATTAAATAATAAATAACAGAAATAGTTAAATACGTTGTTAGCGTCGGCACAGATGGCCGACAATACACTGCCGCGCTTAAATGCGCCATTTCGCTTAGTGCACCAGTGATCCAACGATCTTACTCCTCTAATGACGTCACAGAAAAGTTGAAGATCGTCAGCCGATTCGCGATTGACTTCAGTATTTACAGTTCGCGTAGTTTCGCGGCGTGTGTGGTCGTGTGCAATCGCGTATTTCTCGTTAATGCTCGTTAATTTGCGAAAATGCGGTGATGCGATCAGGCTTTCCCGATGAACGAGCGAACCAGAAGTGCGAGGAAGACCGGGGATATTATGGCTCACAATTAAGGAAAATCAACATCCGGTGAGTCATTGCCTCGCGTGTTATTTGTCTAGTCACAAATTTGCGTAGCAAATGTCTTTAATTGACGTCACGTTGCGCGAGGTCGGCCATTGCATTTTTCGCGTTTTTTACGATTTTCTCACTATGGATTTTCGTTATCGAACATACGGGATTGTCCGTCTTAACGATTCGGTTAATTGCGCGCCCGTAATTATCCAAATATCGGTTTCCCGATGATCGAGCATGTACGCCATATAGAATCACTGTCGCGTTGTTGTTTCGTCGGTTTTTGTCACGTCGTGACAACCTTGTTTTTCATGTATATTGTTTGTATTCCGGACGACGAATGTAAGGATTCGAGTAATATTTCACGAAGGAAAATCTTGAATATAGGAAAAATGAGGAATCATGGGTTTTTTTTTCTTTTACATACACAGAAATCCAGTTTTTGTGTGTAACTCCAAAAGTTTATTACGTACATATTATATCTCTGTGTTAACACATTCGAGTCCACAGATTTAAGTATTTGTTCGTTTTTAAATCGGTTGTGAATTTCTCCATTAACGCGGATGCGAAAGGAAGAAATCCGGATTAAAATCTCTCAGAGTGAAACAAATACGTAGCGTGATTTCTAGCTTAGCGTTAACACATACATATACTTCAACCGTGTAGAGAACGTCGATGAAAAAAAAATTTTCCACGGCAAATATCATATACACGGAACCGTTCTCTCTCTCTCTCTCTCTCTCTTTCTCTCTCTGTAAGTGTACAGTCAATATATTTCAATCGATTATTCTCTCGCTTCAATTCCCTCACGTCATCTCATCGAACATCTCCATGCGAATCTTCGGGAACGAGTTTGGAAGTAGCCTATTCACACAGACGATCGTCGTCGTCTTTACACGGCGGTGGCGCATCGTTCATCGAAACATCGTATCGACGAGGAAAATCAGGACGAGCAGTACCAATCTTCTATTTACATCGCCGGTACCACCGTGCTGCATCGCAGCGGGATGTTCGCCTGGAAAAGAGAATTACATCGGACGACTAACGTGTCGCTTGTGTGTCCGCTCCTCCATTCCTGAATCTTCACGAATTCAATCTCGTCAATCTTTCTCGGATAGTTCTCGCTAAACAGATCCTCGTTAAACGAACATTAAATTTATTAACATCCCGAACGAAAATGGAAACTCGCGAAGCAAGAGACTGCGCTTGAGAATTCTCCGAGATTTAAAAAAGGGCAATGGTAAATCGTTGGGCTATTGTGAGAAAGAAAAAGATAAACATTTCTTATTTGTTGTACGTTTGATACGACAATGCATTGTTCAAGCAAGCAGATGTGACAACGTTGTAAATATTCTCAAAATATATGTATATTTTTCCTGAACAATGTTTATTATCGTAATAAACAAACGCCATCTTTTGTCGCGTGCCGTTGAATGGCAAATTGAACGGTAAATTGTTCGCGCCGGGTTCCATCCGTGATATTAAACAGTTGTTACAAAAGATAATTAATATTTGAATAACGCGCCGCATTATTTATACCGAGCGTATTAACGTAATGAAGAGCACGGAATGCAGGAGCAGATTGCGCTCGGTTGTACCGAGAGAGAGAGAGAGAGAGAGAGAGGGAGGGAGAGAGAGAGAGAGAAAGCGCGTGCCAGAATTAAAACAAATATTCCCTTATTGCGAAGTGTGTTGGGGGAATAATTTCGTAACGTTACGCTTTCCCGCCCCCCGCGCTCGCTCTTGTTCTCGCAGAGAATTTCGAAATTAACTATCGTAACCTCTCTGTGTACTCTATCTCTCTATCTCTCTCTCTCTCTCTCTCTCTCTCTCTCTCTCTCTCTCTCTNTCTCTCTCTCTCTCTCTCTCTCTCTCTCTCTCTCTCTCTCTCTATGCCGCCTCTTCCCTTTCGCACGCTCTACTGATATTGCCACCGCGGTATTTTGCTCACCGTTTAGTACGTGCACCATGACGCTCGCCGGGGTGACTTTGCTCGAGGCGCATGTATAATTACCGCTATCGTTAAGTTGAGCACGCGTTATTAGGAGCTTGCTGGTAGTACCCCGCTTTCCCTTCTCCGTCTCCAGAGATACGCCGCCTCTGTCGAACGTGTACAACATAAGAGCATTATTCAGCTGATTTGCGAAAGTTTTCGATAATTACGCAATATAAGGGAGTGTGTCTCATGCGTCATTTTGACGATCGATATTGTTTTTTGTTTTTTTTTTTCAATTGCATTTAAAGCCACGTTACTTGCGTATTACTTGCGCGCGCGTCCGATATAATATTTATGTCATATCATTCGCGAACAGAATTGCTTTAGGCGTTTCGTTGTGAGTGCACGCAAGTGATTTACAACATTATGCGCGGCTTTGTGGTGTGCACAACTAATCTTGAAGCCAGTGGATTACTGAGATTACTCTAATTAGATCTGCGATTTGGTTGTTTGTGCATCGCGTGTTTGCACACGAACGCCCGCAATGATGCCGTTTGAACAATGATTCCATCAGCTAATTGTGCACCCACAAAGGTACATCGAGTCGAATTGCTCGTACCTTGGACCGTCGAAATCGATCACTGCCCCGGCATGGTACCAGGTCACGTTGCTCGGGGGCAGATCCTGCAGTTCTATGATGCAAGTCAGGCTGATTGTGCTGCCTTTCTTGATGTATAGCTCCTGGGGACCCGTGATCCTTGCCTGTATATCTGATAGGAACAACGTGAACGACAGTAACGACGTGAGAAAATAAGAAGAATAAATCGGACGATATCGCGCTCTGCGATTGGCTTTGTCACTTAAAATCCGCGACGCGAGATCGAGATCTAGAGATCATTATTCGGATCGCATCGGATTTCTATGGCTCAAAATGAATTTCTTACATTACTTCGGAAAGCTCAGCAAATCGCATCGCCGTGTGATCGCCCGGGGAGAGTTAAAACAATTGGTTTCTACCGCCGGTTCGCGCAGAAGACGCTCGCGGGGGATCTTTAAGCGCGATTTATGGGCAAAGGCTACCATCGCCTCGCCTCTCGTAGAAACTCACCCAAAACCTTCAGCGCCACGGCTCTATATATCTTCGGTTCTGTATTAACCTGACACTCGTAAATGCCGGCGTCCCGCGGTTGCACGTAATCTATTCGCAGATTCCAGTCGTCGGTCGCCGGATTGCCGACTATCGTAAATCTCGCGTCGCTCGTGTAAGTCACAGACATAGACGTCAAGATGTGTAGGTCCCTTTTTCGGATCCAAGACACCTGGGTTTATACGTAAACGGAAGCCTCAAATGAGAGGTACAAGGTAATTGCAGTTTGCCCTCAACCCTCTCGCTGCTGCTGCTGTGCTGCTGCTGCCGTTTTCGATTCAACTCGTTCTCTCTCTCGCGCGCGCGCTCGTTTCTCACCTCGCATTATAATGAAGACGGTCTTGACGAAAGAGACACGAGAATTTAGAAATACATATAAAAATTCTTACGACCAACGAGAGCTCGGAGAAAATTTTATCGCCAATACGAGAGATTTCTTGAAATATCATAAATGAAGATAAAGACTCTGAGAAGAAATTCAAAAATTTCCGAGGGAAACAGAGAGAGAGAGAGAGAGAGAGAGAGAAAGATATTTTTTTTTATACTCTCTCACGTATACGTGAAATTATTGTAATGGTGATTCCCTTATCGCCCGAAGACTTTTCTATTTTTATAGAAGATAGATACTCGCGAGCGATAAGAATATCGACTTGCTTTTTGGCGTCGATTCAAGAGTGAAAAATGCTGATGGTTTTGGTTCCTTTTTGTTTTTTTTTTGTTTTTTTTTTTCGTTATTCTATTCCCTCTTATTGTTTTCTTACTGGATTACAACAGATCATGAAATTATTTTGTACGGAAAAATTCTTCTGCTTTTAAACTCCCATTATACTCCGGTAAACATCTACCGAACACGCTATGTTTGCTATGCCAACAGCGAAAGGGTTAATTGCGTTTTGCGCAAGCATCTAAATTATTGCGACACGCAAACTGCCGCTAATATGCTCCAACTACTTTCAAGAATGATATAATCAACAAAGGAGACGTTTGTGAAACTCACGGTTCTGTTCCCCAAGTTCTTAACGCGACATAACAATACAGCAGCTTGTCCTATCGCTACCGTTAGTTTTTGCGGTGTATCTGTGAAAAAATGTGTCTTCTTTGTGCTGCGTTGTGATTTTTCCCCCTTCTCGAATGTGTCGTTGAAATGTAGAAACGCTGAAATAGAGAATTGAATTGAAATAGAATCTCATGCTCTCGTTATCACCCGGTAATATTATCGTTTTTTCTCTCTCCTTTCTCTTCTCCCCCCCTCTCTCAAAAAAACATGGTGTTGTAATTTTTTTAATCAGAGAAAAATGCAGAAAAAAAGAATAAAATTTGTCTTCATGCAATCTTTCGGTACGTGTTACACACGTATTTGTACGTTAATTTTACGTATAAATTTATACATGCAAATTGTAGATATAATAGTGTTAATAATAGTGTTCAGTCAAATAATTGCTTGATTAAAATAAATTAATGATTTGCATTTTGTGTGCGCGGTTCTCTTTTATCACATGCATTTCGTACACGTCATTAAAATGTATGTTTTCGATTTTTGCTATTGTCAAGAGTACACTACAAAAACGTTTAATAATATTTGTATTGTTGCATGTGTAAATGACACATTTTATGTATACATATACACGCGCATAAATATGAAATTATTTAAAAAAAAAATATTTTTGTATTACAATCTTGTCGATATCAAACTTCGAAAACATACATTTTAATGAGTTAAAGTGCGCATGATAAATCGCTCACATAAAATGCAAATTATTATAGTTTATTTTATATAAAAAAAAGCATATATTTAAGAGAGAAAAATATTTGAAACGTAAAAAACGCGCGTAATGATCTACGAAAGATTTATTCTATAATATATATATATATATATATGTATTATAATAATTTCACGTAGACAACATGTATATACGCATTGGTGTATTATTTCCACTAATAATTATACTGTTGTAACATAGTATGCAAAATAAGAAAGAGTTTATCAGATAAACCAAGATAAAAATGCGCCACAGACTTTAATCCTCTCTTCTCTAATTATAATCCTTTGTTTAATTTTCATCTCTCTTATATGAAAGAGTTAATTATTCTCTACTTTCCGAGCGCCGCTTTCACGCATTGAGAGCCGTTTATTTTTTAATCTTTTTCGCGTAATCTCTCATCTAAATCCTCGTAAAACTAGAATATACGATCCATTAAGAAATGAGAACTGTATAGGAGTTGATTTCGCGTCGATTTAACGCCGATTGAATTAATTAAGTTTTTATTTCCATCTACCGTCGAATGCAGACGTTGTACAATATGTTTCGAACTTTTTTCTTTTTTTATTTTATCTTTGCTGATAGCAAGAGAAGAGGAAGTAAATTCGGTAATAAAAATGATTTACGCTACTGTCTCATATACACCGGTCTCACGTAACTGAGATTACTTCAGCTTCGTGCAACGAAAATTACGTGCCGCAGGTATCCATAATATAACATCGGGGGTAGAAAAAGCGTTGTCGAGATCGTTTCTCTGGGGGCGATGCAAGTGCGGGACATTTACCGATGCCGTGTTCGCCGTAAAGTGGTTCCGCGTGTAACAGGTATCCGATTCCCAGGAGCAGGAGTGCCATGCCGTGGAACGGGGCCATTTTTCACTTCACACTCATTTCTTAATCTAATTCAACACGCCGCTCTGCGTCTGACAGCGACCTACCCACCACCGTCCGACGATACAAACGATCACACTCCACTCGCGGTCCTTCAAAAAGTACCCGCGGGGTCACGTCGATCGTTGGCATAATGCCGTTACCCTCACTGCGATCTTAGCTTTTTTACTCTTCACGTATATGAAAGGGAAGCATTTAGCGTTCACCGCTGATCGTTTTGTTTTTTTTTTTTTCGCCGCTTTTACCAAGCCGAGAAAATGTTCCAAACATAATCAATCGATCTTTCGCATTTACGCTCGACAATCGATTGTTTTGAATACATTGTTCAAAAATTAATTTATAGAAATGATTAAAAGCAAATTGATAAATTTCTTCTCAGAAAACATTTAAAAATCCGATATATGATTATTATATCGATGATTCTTTTAATCCATGCGCGATTCGGTCGCGATCGCGCGGAGAGTTAAGACCCGGTGTAATGCGACACGGCGGCGGGCCGAGCACTGAATTTACTCCTCGCGCAGGACACGAATAAGCTCTGAAATCCTAGCAACGGTGGCGCCGTACCCATTCCGCCAGGTATGTGCGATTGCGCCGAAAGGTCCTCGGCATCAGATATGATTTCCATTAACCGAGACGAGATGTGTTTATTCCGCATGCGACTCTCGCTACACACACACACACACAGCTACATTATCGCGATTTACCGAAACAATCGGTGTTATATATGTCTTTTTCGAAGCGCAAAGTTTTCTACCTCTTCTGTATCAGTTCGTACTGTTTTGGATAAAGAAGTTTATGACGCTATTTGCGTGTTGTTTCCTACGACAATTTTTCTCTTTCTACGATGTTTACTATGCATGTGAGGAAACGAGAATTGGAGACAAAGAAATTACTTTTTTTTTTTAATATATTAAATTATAATATATATTTTGTATGATAAAATTTGTCAAAACATAACAATTTTACAATGCGATAATAAGAATTATAATAACACATTGTCTTATATATAATATACAATAAAATATAATACATATGTATATATACATATACGTGTGTGTTACAAACTAACTGGCAAGATAAAATATCATCAATTGTAATGTTTCTAACAATCATATAATTTTTTTACATATTTATAATATAATATTAAAACGCTTATTTAAAATGCAATCAGACTATTCTAACAAGTAAAAATATTCTAATAAGTAAAAAAGTAAGCACCAACTTTTATATAAATGTTTTTCTTATATTTCCGTTATTTCTTTGTTTCTTGGAGAGCACCCCTAGTCTTTTTTTTTTAGACTTTTATAACAGTGCATACTTTGTTCTTATTTGTTCTACCTAATTTGTTCTTATATTTTTAGTATTCCCCACCATTTCTGATTCTCACTAACATTTTTTCTAGATAATTTTATTAAATTTTATTTAAATACATTTTTTTAATATGTGCGCTTTATTAATACACATGGAAGCACTTTGATGTATTATTTTTAAAGTCTAAAAAAATACATATCTTTTTTTGTACATACTTCGGTGTTTTATTTAGTTCTATACTACTCTAGTTCTATACTGTTCTAGATATCACATGTTGTAAAAAGATTTGTTTTATTATAATTAAGGATTGGAAAAAATATTGAAATTACATCTTTATTGTTATTAAGTATTATACTACGGAATGCTTTGTAAAATGCGTTGTAAAAGTCTGATTGCGTGAACACACGTAAGTATATAAAATAGTTTGTATAAAACTATATATACGTGCTAAATTGTAATTAATACTATTACTGTAGTCAGTAAAAATTTTATGCATAAAATTTTGTATGAAGTTTTGTATAAAAACGATTATACTGTCATTTATAAAAGCAAAATATTATCAAACTTAATATACTGCAAGATCGTAGATTTTTCCTTAGAACTTTAGACATATCTGAGTCTTTTTTGATATCTTGTACTGTATTGCTTAAAAAATAAACTATAATTAACAAATTCCCATGTTGCATCCACTGTTGCAAAGTAATCTCGTCAGTAGCAATAAAGATTTTTATTTTTTATCTACTGTAAAATTACTCTTTGTACCACCTGTTTTCGATATTAATTCTATGCCGTATATTTGCATCGTACCAGGAGTGGCCGCGTATTTGCACATATCGTAAACTGTGAGTGCAGCTATACTCACAGCAGTTAAAGCTTCCATTTCGACACCAGTTTTACCGGTACATCTAACCTCCGATGTAATTTCTATTGTGTGCGATTCCTCGTTTAAAATTAAACATACGTTCACGTAAGACAGCATGAGCGGATGACACAAAGGTATAAGGTCACAAGTACGTTTTGCCGCCATAATTCCGGCCAATTGAGCTACCGACAACACATCGCCCTTCTTCAGGTTATTCTCCGCGATCAGATTACTGATAACAGAACCTATCTTTACGAATCCTTTTGCTTTTGCTACGCGTTTGCTGTCATTTTTCCATCCGACATCCACCATATTCGCTTTACCGGCCTCGTCTATGTGCGACAATGACGAATACATTCTTATACTCTTATTCCTAAAGCACGTGGACACGTATGGAAAATATTTGTACTGCATGTTCCTCATCGACGTGACGTTATACGTTTTTTTGTAGAAAATCTCATTATCTACGTTAGCTGTAACACACATTGTAAAATTATTTTTGTATATACATGTATATATACAAAATATTACACGTGTGTGTGCGCATGCGCATATTTGTGCAAAAAGATAAAAAGAGCAGATAAAAAAAAAATTACAATAATATCTGTGCGCGTCTCGACAAAGCCGAATATATGTTACTACAGTTGATCAATTATTAAGTTAAAATTAATTTAACCCCCTATCAGGATCATTGGCCTATTTTCCATCTGAGTAAGATTGAACATTCCTGAAACACACGTCAGTCAGCAGAGATATAAAACTTCATCGGTTTGTCGACACTCTGCTACAGTTTATAAAATAAAAATTAAATTGCAAGAAAACGTAAACACTTAAAAAAAAAACAAACAATTCAATTAAGCAAACAGTTCATTTTAAATTAATATCTGTACTAAAATTGTTTTTTTTTTTATCTCAGAGAGAAAGAAATACCTGCATGTTGCTTTTTTTTCTGCAATACTGCTTTTCTGATCAGATCCTTAAGATCGTCTTCCGAAACCCCACCTCGCAATGCATCTCTGAGTGAGACCTCATCTTTTCCGAACAAGCACACTTTCAAATTTCCATCTGCTGTTATTCTCAAGCGATTGCATGAGTCACAAAAATGTTGACTCATAGACGTAATAAATCCAATTTGACCTACGAATCCCGGCACATGGTAGGCCTGTCGAGATAGATGCAATATTGCAATATTCAAATAATACATAAATATATAACATCATGAAAAAAAAAGATACAAACTTTAGACGTATCATTAGGCTGAGAATTCGACAGAGCTTGGAAGTCCGGATATTTCTTTCGAATTAATTTTTTCATCTCGTCGAAGGAAACCATTTTATTCTCTTTCCATTCGTTTCCTTGAAACGGCATGTATTCAATGAAACGTACGTCGATTGGACGATCTCTCGTAAAATCGACGAAATCAATTATTTCATCGTCATTACGTCCTCGCATTACCACACAGTTGACCTGTCAATAAAATATATAGATTATATATATGTGTGCACATATTGTCTAATATTCAAACTACGTGTGCAATTGTATCATCTCACCTTCACAGGATTATAACCGAGTTGTACAGCAAGGTCTATAGAAGCCATGACTCTTGCCCAGCCCTTTCTACGAGTAAAAACTTCAAAACGCTCCTCTTTCAGAGTGTCTAGTGATATGTTCAAAGCATCCAGTCCTGCTCTTTGAAGAGCCGGCAACTGACGAGTCAGAGTTAACCCATTGGTGGTAATAGCAACCTGCTCCAATTCTCTCAATTGTTTCAATCGTTCTGACGCATAAAATTGTAAATAAGCAACGCGAAAAGTAAGATCGCCTGATCATAATAATAATCTCACCGCTATAAATTTAAAAATAATTATTAAAAAATAATTATTAAAAAAGATTCTTACCAACGATATCAACAATATCCTTGCGGACTGTAGGTTCGCCACCTGTTAAACGTATTTTACGTACTCCTTCTTTTACAAAAAGATCAGCTATCTGTATTATCTCATCAGTTCTTAAGATATTTTCTTTTTTAGTTAGCTTGACACCTTCCGCAGGCATGCAATATGTACCTGTAATATACGTAGATGTGTGTTATATAAAAAAAAAAAAAATTATACAAATTTTATTATAAAACTTACATCGAAGATTGCAACGCTCCGTAACGGATATTCTAAGATATGTATGCTTGCGTCCAAACGTATCTGTAAGTATTTCACGCTGCTGCTCATCTTGCAGCAATCTGGTTTTGAGTTGCTGCAACTATAATGTTAAAACAGAGAGATTAATATATTATACTTGAGCCGCTAAAAATAAATTGCATTTTGACAGATGTGATAATGCTTACTCGAGTCAGCGTTCCCGTAACTGCAGCAGTTGCCGTAGATGCGTTTGCGGCACCGCAAAATTGTCTGACAAAATTGCACTTTCGTAACATTTATACAAATTTGTATTCAAAACGACAGACAGAAAAAGATCATTAGACAAACGCGTGTTAAGTCACTCGTTGCTTTAAGAGAACTACGTGTCATGTATCCTTTTACGCTCAATTTTATATATTATCTTCTTTCTTAAAAACAAAAAACCGTTATATAATTTTTTTTATTGCACTGTAGATTGCTGTGTATCAGCTGTGTATCAGCTGTGTATCATCGATAAGCAAAGCTGTCATCGTGTGCACACTGGTCTTTATTAATTCAGTACCGCGATTGAGAAAGGAGCTGCCACTTCTTCGTCTTCTTCGAGTGTTTTGCTCTTTTTCAGCCACTAGCGTTGATCAGCTGATTCGAGCCATACGGAAGACACAAAAGTGGAGGATTTTACTATTCGCGTGAATTATTAAAGGTCAGTGTGTACACGTGCTTCTAAATTCTTTTAAGCTTCGTGTCCACGATGTCAGAAATTGTTTCGATATCTCGAACTGAGAGAGAGCTGACCAATCGCATTGGTCGAATGGCGCGAATTGTTCAAATACGATTGGTCAATTCTTTCTCTATCCGCCATCTCGGGATCGTGAACACAAGACTTTATTCATTGCAACTGCTTAGAAACTGATCAGTTTGTTGCACGTAGATGTTTTTTAATAAAAATAAATAAATTTTTTCAATGGAAATAAATAATTTAGATAAAATAATCAACTTACACCTAATGTGATTGGTCTCAACAAGAAAGAAAACTTCTAAGACCAATATTATTATTACTAAATTTTATTCAATACTTACATAAGTACAACACGTGTAATTTTATATAAGAAAATAATCGGTTATTACAGCGAAATGATACTTTTACATCTCACCTACACAACTTTCTATCCAGTCGGATGCGTCTATCATTTTTTGAAATGATCGTTCCACATATCTGTCAATGCACAATCTAGCTGTGTTTTCCGACTGACCTTGAAATATGAATGAATAATACTCTCTGTGTCTCATCACGTTTGCGCTGCGACAATGTTTGATCTCACAATCCAGTATTTTCCACATCTACAAATACAACATTCAGTCATTCCAATCGTTTGAACGCTCTTTGGTATTTTATAAGATTATACAATATATGCAAAAAATATATAAGAAAAATATTAACATATTATATTGTTTACATGCTAAGTTTGCGTTATAAAAATTATTTCAAGTTATTTTAACTATATATAAAGTATATATATATATAAAAGTATATTATTAATTGTAAGTATATGCAAATTATATACAATTGTAAAAAATATATTTTATTTGATTTCGTAAGAAATTGTTGTTTTGAACCTTCATCCATTTCATCCGTAACATATCTTTCAACGATTTCTTGTGTGTAAAATGTCGAAACGCGTAAATGGCTTCGATGCCCTCTTCAATATCGTTAACTTCTTCAAACATGCGTTCAATCAGAGTCTTCACCATGTTTTCTAATTCCATCACGGAATATCTAAATTTTTGCATGTTTTTTACCCATGTCGATTTTTCTACTTCGAGAATATTCTGTGTTGATTTGATTTCGTCTAAACTCTGGTACAACAGACCGTCTATTCTGCGACAATAGTCCTCGTATTCAAAGCCTTTTGCACCGCCGATTGACCCTACCTTGTTGCATCTATAATTCATTTGTGAGTCACTTATTAGCTATTCTATTTTATTTTTCATAATAGTTGTGTTTCTTTCAAAAAGCAGACATGATTAATCTTTGAGCAAGAAATTTTACTGCGTCTCACCTTCCAAATACGATCAAAGCGTTGCATATCTCAATAATATCGTAACATCTTTGCATAAATGTATCGATGCGATTGAATATTAACTGTTCGTTTACGTTCCAATCTCTATTCGATTTCACGTGTGCGGTTATGTTTGTGACCTGCAGATTATTTCGGTAATTAGACAAAAAAATTTTGCTAGAATTACAATCGACATATCATCAAAAACGATGCACGATGCTTTCTGCATAACCTTATCGTATACAATCTTATATGTTTCGCAACAAGAGATGCACTTCCAAAGTATATTTATCTTGTCTTCTACGCAGTCGTCTAATAACGCTTGTAAATTGACATATTTTTGACATTGATATATTATTTGAGAACTGACACACTCGCAAAGTATTTCTATATTGCTCCTATAAAATATTTCTCGTCATTAATTTTCTGCTCTGGCGAATTTTTAAAATTGTTTTAATTATTTAAAATAACCGTACGATATGTTATAAAATGGCGATTCTGTCCAAATAAACAATATCAACAATAATATTCTTGTTATCGGTTCTTCAATTTCATCCGGACATTTCAAATCGTTACAAGCTTCCGACAAAATTCTCAAGTACGTCACGTTTGACGTTGCTTGATTTATTCCTTTGTTAAGTTGTAGCGTCAAATGACGTAACGAATCCGATGTTGGCGAACGAATGTTCTCCAAAAACCGCAATATCGATTCGACTTTTCTATTAGAAAATTGATCCAGCAAACAACACAAGTCGTAATCTGGAATTCAAAAATCTTTCACAAAGTGCAAGACGAACTATTATATTTATATTTATTTATTCTACATTTGAAACTAACATATCGCTGTCCAATGTTCCAGCTCGTCGACAATGTTTTCTCTTCTTTTCTTCATGGACATGCTCGCTAACACCTCGTGTATCTGCTTGATCCAATATCGTACGATACTTTCAAATCTTTCTATTAGTGCTTTTTCTGATTCGGTTAATTTGCCAGGAGCGTACTGTCGATTGTCTTTCGACAAATCCATCTTTTCAAAGTTCGATTCCGCAATATTGGGAGGATCTTCTCGCGGCATATACAATTTGGTCAATTTCAATGGCTTATAAATCCATTCGGTCAGGTACATTAAAAATTTGTGCAGGTTTGAGAACAAATCAGTTTTGATAGCTGGTTTTAAGAAAATAGATTTAATTATAAGAAAAATAGATTTTTCAAATATTTTTTCATGTAAATATAGTTTAAAAACTTTTTAGAAAATACACATAATTGCAATTCAAAGTTTTGTATTTAACTCCCTTCTCTCTAAACATGTCCAAATTGAATAATTAATACTTCAGAATTAAGATTTGTAGTATAAGCTTTCAAATCTCTCAAATTAAAATTGTTGAGCTCACAATTTGACATTATAAGTTTTCGGTGAGGAGCTAAGTCACGTAACGAAAAATTAAAACTCTTTGATGAAGTTTAAAAAACGTTTATCGCAAAATTTATATATTATCTTATATAATGATTATCTTATGTAAATAATGATAAAAGTACTTGGATTTTTATTTAAAAAAAAAGGATACTCTCGAGCCATTCGTTGCTACTCAATGCTACGGGCACGTATAAGCACTCCATTGATTTCAATACAAACATCATTGTGTTGTGATTAACACTACCAAAAACGATTGTAACATAAAAATTGTCAACTGTGAGCACCTGCCAAGGCGCTCGCATGAAATATACAAAATTGCTTATGTGTCCTGCTGGAATGCTCAATTGCGCGTTTAATACATTTGCCTTGAAATAAATACATAGTAATGTAAAACTTGGATTTTTGAAATACTCGCAAATAACTGTGTCACAATTTTCATTCCAATCGTCATCTTTAAGTGAAGGAAGCACTGTGAGATCCTTCACATATTGTATCTAAAAAATAATGTTATAGTAAAAAGGATTATTACTTATATATTATAAATATTTCAAGTTTATACTTCGTAACAAAAAGATAAAAACAATATTAAATTATTAATGATTTTTCAAGTTTTACAATGTCAACCGATTGACACAAGAAAATTGTAGAAATTTAAAACGTTTTTTTTTTTTTTTCACTTCTTGCATAATAAGACTACGACACAAGTAGTCTCGGAAGCTTTAAATAAATTTGAAAATATAAGTAGAAACATAACTGACCAATTTCTTTAAATCTTGTTCATCAAAGACCGGCTTTATCGGTTCAACAAAAAGTTCTTCTTCGCTCTCAAGACTTTCTGAAATAATTTATATGTATATATAGGATGTTTCAAAATAAATTCTAGGAAATATTCTGATACAAAAATTCAAAAAATACAAAAATGACGAGACTGTAATAATTTTTCAATTATAAGCGATTAAAGATCACGAATTGTAGACCTAAACTTTTGACATGTAAAATATCACAAAAAAACTAATTTTGCAAAACTACCTTGTCGTTCAAAATCTTCTTCATCTGTGTCCATATCCAAGAATTCTCGGTGAGAATCCGGAGGTGGATTTTCCATTTTTTTCTTTTTCTCCATCTTTCTTCTTTTGTTTGTTCGAAAAATGTGATAAATCGAAATTTATTTAAAATATTGCTCAGGTATTAAAACGCTAAACACACTGTGAAATGGATTAGTAACAGAAGCGTTGCTAAGGGTGACGTCATAACATGTATTTTTTACTTGAAGTAAATGTATAAATAAATGAGCAAATAATAAAGATAATATATTACATTATTTTTTTATTATATTAAACTGCGATTTTATCATCAATAGAAAGTGTTTTCTAGAGAACTTTTATTTTATCTCGTTCTGATACTCAATCAACATGACTTTGATATCTCACAGTAAGATATCGAATTTAAAAAAAATGCATTTGATTTTGTTTCGCCTGTAATCGTCTGCACGAGTGACATTTTACTTGTATCCATTGGAGCTAAAAATTGAGTGAGTTTTAAAACCCGACGTCATGATGAAGTCGTACTTTGCTACTTGGGAACAAGTGGGTCACGCTGTGAAAAAGACGTTGATTGGCCATTGTGTGACCTACGCGTTTATTCCTCAACGCTGTCTCGTTCTGTATGCACGAGTCATTTAAAGGGAAGTATAAAAATATATTTTTTAACAAATTGATACGTTACAATTGTTGCGTAAGAAAACGTAAGAAAATTTTCAAAATAAGATCGCAAGAAACGGAGCAAACTTAATGGCCGCGTTCGGCAGGACTTGGCGCTTTGTGCTTATTGTGATTGGTCTGTTCCTCTGGATCTATTGCAGATGTGAAAATACATGCCAATGATGACGAGCAATAATGACAAAACGTTTACTGCAGCGTTTGATTCTGCCGAACACGTCTGATGACGACATCGCAGGTACATAACGTCCGGTAAAATCGACGTGCTGCGCGATTGATCGATATCGTTAGCGCGATGAGCTCCCGTGTGCTGCCAAGCGACAATCGAGACGTTGATCAAGTCGCGTCGTCGGCCGAGTGAGACAGGCGCGCGCACTCCGGACGCGGACACGCTTCTCTCTTGCTTTATTTAAACGAGTGCAGGTGGGCAGAATAAAAAAAAAAACAGAAAGAGAGAGAAAGAGAGAAAGAGAGTGCAGTACGTAAAAGCGAATAAATTTCTGCGCTCATGATACCGCACGGTATCGGACAGTACCGGAACTGCAGCCCGATAAACCGTCCGTTTTTCCCCCCAGAGTGAAGAGTAGGAAGGCGGATGCTTGTGTCCAAGAGAGACAGACGTAAGGCCGGGAGCGGCTAGGAGGAGAGACAGTGAGGGAAAGAGAAAGTAGTTAGTTAAAGAAAGATAATCAGAGAGTGTTAGAGATGAGAGGGAAAGAGTAGCTCTTCGGATAGAGCAAGCGCGAGCGGAGCAACGAGGAATCCGGAGTAGATTCGGTAGGTAGGTAGGTTCGACTCCGAACGACCGACCGACAGACAGATTGTGGTGGTGTGTGCGCGAGTGAAGTGAAGAGCAAATTCACGATGGACGAGTGCATGCTGAACGACTTGTTGGAGTGCTCGGTATGTCTGGAGCGACTCGACACGTCCAGCAAAGTTCTGCCATGCCAGCACACGTTTTGCAAAAAGTGTCTGGAGGAAATAGTGAGCACGCATCGCGAGCTACGCTGTCCGGAATGTCGTGTGCTTGTGGACGCAAAGGTGGACGACCTGCCGCCAAATGTGCTGCTAATGCGTATCCTCGAAGGGATGCGCAATGCCGCGCCGAAAAATCAAGTCAAGTCCGGATCAATCTTGTCGTCAAGATCCTCTTCCGGTGGCACTGCCGTGCCGCAGCGGTTGTTCGGCGGTCACCAGGTTGCTCCAGCACCCATCGTGACTGGCAATCTCGTGCCCGCCGTTGTTTCCGAACAAACAGTGCGACAGCATTCCAATGCCGCTGCTAAACAGGTGCACCTGCATAATCAGGCGTACGGAAGAGCAATCTACGATTATGTTTCTAAAGTGCCAGGGTACGTTTTATAATTGTATCAATATTTGTGCGCTGTATTTATATATGTTCGTATCTTATTTATGTGTACCACATCAACACATTTTAGCGTTGTACACATTAAATTTTTGTTCGTTTAGTGATTTGAGTTTCAAAAAGGGTGATATAGTCATCCTTCGGAAGAAAATCGACAACAACTGGTACTTTGGAGAATGTGGCAACAATCATGGTGTCTTTCCCTTGTCCTATGTTCAGGTACACAACTTGTACATACAACTAACGATAAATTGATTGTCTTTTAATGTGAAATTTATTATTTTATTACATAATTTTTCTTAAATTGTAGGTGATGACACCTTTGACACCACATGTACCCCAATGTAAAGCATTGTATGATTTTAGGATGGCAAATGAAGATGAAGATGGTTGTCTGACCTTTAATAAGGTATTTTTTAACTGATTCTTATTAATTTTGATTATTGTACGATTTTCACACGTAAAATTATTTACATAAAATTTCAACACACGCATCCATAAAAAATATGTAAATAATCTTTAGGGAGAAGTTATCAGCGTTATTAGAAGAGTAGATGAAAATTGGGCAGAAGGTAAACTTCTGGACAGAATTGGTATCTTTCCATTAGCCTTTGTGGAGATGAATAGTGTCGCTAGAGCTCTGATGAAACTTTCTACCAAGTAAGCAAAAGACTACTGAGAATTTTATTTTATTTTAAAAATAGATGTGTGTTTAAATAATCCTTTAATTAGTGTACAGCCAGGACCATCAAGAGTAGCTCCGCCAACTCCAACAAATGAGGAAACCACGCCATTGATTCCAACAGATCATTCGCGCAATGTGCAAACTACAAGCCAGCCACGATCGCAATTGGTACAGGTAGGTCATAAAATATACATTAAATTATACAATAAATTCAATTATACAATAATTTATTCGGTTTAATTAATACACAACAGCTTTCATGAGAAATATATTTTATAAATATGTATCTTGATATTATCACTACAGAATGCTGCATTACCAGTTTCCGACTCCCTCTCAAATGTCTCCTCCGGAGGCAGTTCTACAACCACCACTCCGAACACACCTAACAGCTCGACCACATCCAGCAGTTCCAGCACCGCACCGAGCAGTCCCGGCAGTCCCGCAACGTCACCGCCCGCCGTTGGCAACAGGCATAACGTTAAACGTCATAGTTTCACTGCCGTCAATACAGGTCATCATGCTCATCCTCATCATAGACATAGCGCTGAAATACTTAGTCCTCCGGTAGACAGTGCCTCTAATAACGCTAACAATAGTGGAGGCAATGAGTCATTTTCTCCTTTACAAGTAAGAAAATCACATTTTCTGACATCAATACCTGTGTGAATAATTTGTATATACGAATTGCTGTATCTCGACAGTCTCTAAGTTGATTTCACATTCTCACATTCGAGTTTTTGATCTGTTTCATTCCTTCTTTTGGTAAGATTTATTTTAAACTTCTAAATAAATTTATTTTGTTACTTTAGGTCAGCAGTAACTGCAAAGGAACTACTTCGCAATCGGATCACAATCTTCGTCACAGACGAAGTGGCAGCAGCGATCTCGTTCTTGTTCAGCCATCGCAGAGTGTATCACCTGCCAATCAAACATCTAGCAGCGCGTCTAGCGCGACGCACCTGCCTGCGGCATACGTAGCGTTGTATCCGTACAAGCCTCAGAAAGCAGATGAACTTGAATTACGAAAAGGTGGTATCTACATGGTAACGGAACGTTGTCAGGATGGATGGTTCAAAGGCACATCTAATCGTACCCAAAAGTGTGGAGTCTTCCCTGGAAATTACGTTACACCCGCTAAGTATGTGTTCAGATATGTGTTTTCAAGTCTTGCGAACATTTCGTTATTCTTATGTTCTCGATATTCATTGCAGATGCCAACGCGGACTGTGCCGCGGATCTTCAAACTCACCCAGCCAACATCAAGGTTCGCCACTTTCGAATGCAGTATCAAATGCTGAATCGCGCTTGGCTGTAACGTACACAAAAAGCAAAGGATCCGCGCCACAGCCATACAATCCTCGCACACTGCCGCCACCGGAATTACCGCCTCGAGCTGTCAGTCCCTCATCGACAACCGTATCCTCATCTTGGCATGGTGCTGGTCAGCAGAGCCAAAGATCGAATCAGGAAACTAGTCCACCACGGCACAATGACCAAAACGTTACCAATCCACTTGGGCGTAGTCACAGTGCAGTAATGACATCAAATATTCGTATGTATTTTTTTTTATTTATCACAACGAATACTTCGACATTGGTATTTTGACGTTCGAAGCTAGAAGAAAATAATCGCATTATAGCTTCTCCCGGTAAACAAATCACAGTATCGGCATCATCGCTGACAGCAGTTGCTATCAATAGCGCTAACAGTGGCTGCAGCAGTATTTCCGCGCCTTCCTCTTCCGCTAATGACATGAACAGAAGTCCAAATAATACTTTGAGAGCAGTAGTCGCATCTTCGAATGCAACTGCAGCTGCGTCCAAACCCACGGAAAAGGTATTTTTGCGAGAAATACATCTCATATATTTTTTGTTCAAGAAACCCCAATAGTGTCTCGCGCCAAGTTTGACATGAGACCGTGACTATATTTATAATAACGCTTCACATACATGTATTTATGTTAATTGCAGCCTAAGGAAAAGAAGGACAAATGTGTCTCTTTAATGCGGCGGTTTGCCAACATTAAGAAGTCTAAATCACCGCCACCGGCGACATATTCGATGGATAATCCTGTATTTGATGACGGTAATTCCGTCAATCCGATACATGTTCGGTGAGTATCGTTAGTTAAGTTTAATTATCATAAATTTATGTCCGACATATTGTCCATATGTCCATATACACAGAGTTTATATTATAATGCAAATATCGTAAACTTTGTTAATCTATTCCAAACTGAATTGCACGTTCTAATGATCGATTTGATGTGTACGCTGTTGTTCGCATGTATATATGTTGTGTACGTACATGAAAGTACTCATGTTCATTGTTATGTTATTGTTATTTTGGACATGTATAACATTTTGACACAAATGTTCCTATAAGTTTTGTGCACACATAAGTGCCATTTTGATGCTAAAATTACATTGCATGACTATCATCACTATAGTTTACAAGTTAGCACATATACAAAGTTAGAAATGTAGGTGGCAAAAATATACATATATATGTATGTAGCCACTCGCAAATAATATAAATCTTAATATCATGCTTTATGCAGCATGACATAAATTTGCACGCCTTGTGATGTTTCTCTAATGTTATATTGGGACTGGGTGGGCGGGGTAAATTTTGACAATCCCAGATCGGGATCTTGCCCAAGTCAATTGCTACAGGTGGTACCCACACAGGAATTAAATACTTCAAACAACCAACAACGCTTATGTCCAGACTCTGTACAAGGGCACGTAGCATCTTCACAGAGACTGAAATACAAGGAGAGACCCTCCTTGCCAGTGTCAGTTATTCAGAGGTTAGTCGTTTGTAATTTTAAATATGAATTGGCAATCGCGGCGCGCAGCATATATTTTGTGTCTATTCCAAGTAAATTTAAGTCATACATTATATACAATAAACACTTAATAAATTTAAGATAGTTCCATGTAAATTATAATAAAATCCAAGAAAATTGATAGCATTATTTATTTGTTTAGTTTGTGTCATATATTATTGTTATTAATATTTTATGATAATATTGTGGATCGTTTTCGATAGCGGTATAAAATTAATATTAATGTTATTTTAAACAATTATAAAAGTATTCATTTCCAACATAAAACCGACATAAACACTTTGTGCTAATATACGTTAAGCTAATGTGCGCATTTGAAAATTCTATTGTGTTTTTTACTTACATTTCTTACTAGTATTTATAATTGAATGTGTGGTAAAACTACATTTTTTTCAGGTAAGTGTACGATATGTTCTTACAAGTGAAAAACTTTAACCTTTGTAGAGCACAAAATAATATGTACCATCTTGCTATATAATTTTATATACATGTTTTATATACACGTTACCACACGTTATATTATATAATTTTTCTAACATTTATCTCTCTATAAAAATAAGGCGCACTCTTGTACAAGACAGTCTTTTATCTAACATATGAAATGTGTTACTTAAAAAATATAAACATATATTAAAAGTAAAAGTTAGAGAAACATTAATTATTGGATTACTTTGCATGTTTGAAAAATTGATTGTCACTATTGGTCTTTATATGGCTCTTTTATTATTTTTATTTATATTTATTTAATTTTTTAATGGCATATTTGAAATGTATTTTGTTTATGTGATTCGCTTGTGTGATGCTGAATCATCTGATGTAGATTGACATTTTACATATCTATATTCAAACTAAATTCTTATTCTAGCTTTTATTATAAATGTTATTTTTGTATATGATATATATGTTGGTTTTTGTTCTTATCTAGATCTGGTGAATCTGGTGGTGCTATGGTATGTTCAACCATTGGAAATCATCATCGTAAGAGTAATTCTTTAGACGCTGGGATGGGAAAGCAAACGAAACAACAATCATCGCGCGATCGGTAAGTTACAAAGTTAATTTTTCGTCACGTTGTACGCTAAACTGTATTGTTTGCATTTCAGTGAACGAGTTTATAGATTTCGTTGTATCGTACCGTATCCGCCCAACAGCGAATTCGAGCTGGAACTTCGCGTGGGAGATATAATATATGTTCACAAGAAACGCGATGACGGATGGTACAAGGGTACACAACAGCGTACTGGTCGCACAGGATTATTTCCGGCAAGTTTTGTGGAAGCTTTCTGAGATCCGACGCAAAGTCGCATAGTGCTAGAAACTTGCATATAACTTAGCCTTTTCCGTGTATTACATGACATATATGAAGTTCTAAGTAATGAGGCTATTCAAGTTCTTGTGTGTGCGACGCGCATATATATTTTGTTGTTGATTTTCTCGCGTTAGACTCAAATAAAACTGTAATTGATTTATCAATGCATATCCGCGTTCGGCAAAGCTCGAATATACTGTGATCGGCTTGTTTATATTGTTTTTATTTTTAGATCCTTAATTAAATCTAAAGAAAAATGGCTATCACAGATAATAAGCACAAAACGCGCTTACTAAGCGTTGTGTTTTGCTGAGCGCGGCCACTTATGTAGACATATATTACGCGTGCCGTGTTGTGCAATAAATAAAGTGAATACCGCAATATGAAAAAGCGTGCAATGATGAGAAAATTTGCGCCACAATATTTCTGTGCAGCAAACCATAAGTGGAATAATGCCACACATGATAAAATGACTGATACATGTCAAGTTAACAAACACATTCACACAGTGAATACAATAGTGACCGTCTACATGTCAGTGATTTTGATTCCGATTTAGTCATTAAGTTCATTTCTTTCATATTCTGATGGTCGGAGTGTTGCTCGGTCTACAAGACTTTTTTTTTTTATCTGATCTTACCGTTGCAATTTTTGGCATTGAATAAAGAGATCTGGTTTTATCTCGCTCATCCTTAGCTGTCTCTTTCGCTTGAGCAACGCGAAGACAAGTTCTTTACAAGTTCTCGCACAAAGCAGTGAGTTCCTCTGAATCACATTGGCGTATAGATGGACACTGCTGTATATACTTTTCGCATAAAAATGAATTATATTATAATAACAAAATAGTGTGACATGACATATACGTGAAAAAAAATAATTCAAAAACTATTCAACTGTACTGCCATTGAGGTAATATAGACGGAGATGTTTTCGTAACAAAATAAGAAGTTCATTATTCAAATGATTACTGCCATTTGTGAACGAGAAAGATATCCGTGTTAAACCTCTCGTGTTAAACCACCACTGATTTCTAAACTTTTACTTGTCTTCTCAATGCGTATAATTTAACGCACAAAGAGAAGTATTACATAAATTTAAAAAAATGTATCATACACACCACACACATAAAGCTATTTGTGACACGTAACTAAATGTAGAATTATACTTTACATTATGTGTTCGCTTGTGTGCTAAAAGAGTTCTATTTAAGTTTTCGAATAAAACTTGTGAAAACACAACCTCTTAAATTTTTAAATGAACTAAACGAGGAAATACTAAAATGTCTCCAAAAAATTAAATTGTAAATTAAAAAAAAAAAAGACCAATTTGAAACACAACACAGATTAGTGTATCAAAATAATATTTTAAATGAAAGAAGGCGTTTTACGGATATTTTAATTTTAAATTTAGATCTTTTTCAGTGTGCTAAACAAATATGTAAAAAATCAGGAAAATTAGTAATAATTTATATCAATGGTTTTGCCGTTGTCTGAGGAAATAATTTTCTTATATTTTTTAATTGTTGTAACTAGTTTAATTAGAATTTTTGGAAAATGATCTTGATGTTTATGCGATGTTGAAATATTATATGAATACTAATTTATGAATTATAACACTAGATTTGTTTTCTAATTTTATAAAGTCAGTATACACGTCAGTATACATGTACTTGTTAAGCAGCATATGACAAGAGATTGGTCCTTCGTGTATCACATTTGTAAGCTATTTTGAAGATACGTGAAAGAATTAATTATTTAATAACACAAAAAAACAGTGCTTCCATTTATACATATACATATATATCACCTGATTGTCGATCAGTATTTATTTAGATTAGATACACGAGAATGTTTTGCTATATGTTCTCTCTCAAATTATTATTAATTATATAATCTTTTTGCGCAAACAAATGTTGTGTATCTTTATACTGTTTTACTTTGTTAAAAGATACTGTACTACTTATTGTATTATTGTCGTAATTATATACAATTATTTTATATAATTTATATTAAGCAGCAAGCACAAGCGTACCTAATTTTATATTATATTATTTAATGATGTACATATATAATGTGTATATAAAATATAAATGGAGAAATGTGTTCGTAAGTTTCTCTATTTATTTAATATTATACTGAATATTCCGAGTTATAACAGCTGAAGACTATAAATTAAAAACTATACTTTTACTTATAGAACATTTGTTTTCTTCCTTCTATGTACATATACTGAGTGAGGCTCCTAAAGCGTAACAACTGAATATTGTATTGTAGAACATACTATGTATAAGTTGAACTGTTAAAACTTGGCATATTCTGTATCTCAAACTGCGTTTTTTGGCGGCAACGTCGTTGACAGCTTGTGTTGAAAACGTTTTTTGTTGGCATGGCGACAATGATATATGTTGTTTCCAACTTATGTTGTCAACGATGTTGCATCGGCCTAAACCAGACTCTTTATACTCGGGGAGCGCGACTCCCCGCGCGAATGTGTATGTATAATGCTCAACTCATTAATGTTCTACATAAACGTAATCTACAATACATTTACACACACACATACACAATAATTAAATTGTGACACATAATATGTTGCACAAATTCAGGAGTAATAAGAAAACCGTACACAGTACAGTATATTCTATTCTCATCGCAAATATGTATGTATAGGCATGTATTTAATCAGGGAACATATTTATATTACTTGTGAATATATTTAAATGATGTATACTTGTACAGAATTTTACTGTAATTTCTTGATGTTGTAGGAATTGGCAGATGTCCTGTTACTTAGTTAAAAACAAACTCTGATGTACAACGAATCATATTGTAAAAAGTACAGCGTTGCGCAAAATGTTGTAAGGACAAAAGTCTATGATACTTTACAAAATTGTTACAGTTTCCTATGGTTGAAGTTTATTTACAATTTTTTTAAAAAATTTCCTTTGTCTTTTAATTAATGCAAAAAAAAACATTTAAACGTGTATATCTCGCTTATTCATGTATGATATTAACACGTAGCAATACGAAATGTAAATGTAATCATGACATTTGCAAACTCCTACGATTTGAAGAACTTTCTTTTATCTCTCTATTTATCTTCTTTGAAATGCAGAATAATTTATGTCTATATGTTATTTATCGCGATTGTATAACAAATATGAAAAAAAAACTTAACGTTTCACTTTGATTTTATTATATCGTAAAAAACAAAAAAAACAATATTATATCCTAATGGATGAGATCTAATAAAGATGCTAACGAGATGTAGTAAACGCATATATACTTTCCATACTCTCGTATCTAAGAGTGACTTAAAGGTAATGAATGTCTACATGCACATACCACTGACAGAGATGTAATTTTATAGTTATTCGTGTCCGAATGTGAGAATCACGTGGCTGGATATATTTTTTTATGTATCAGTCACTCTTCAGAGCGCAAATAAAGTAATTGAACCGTAGAATTGAATCGCATCTAGAAGTATGGGATAGAGAAACAAATATCTCTCATGTGAGGGGCCACACTAAGCATGTAATAATCCAACAGTTTATACATTGTAACAGAATATGTAGAAGTCGTCGAAAGGGAGAATGATAGAAAATGATATATAAATATATATATATATATATATACATATAAAGTACACGCGTCTGCGTGTGTGTATGTAAATGCACGTGTACACATACACATATATATATATATCTATATATATATACATACATACACATATACCTATTTATACAAAGAAACTCATCTGTTTGTGTTCACGCGAATTATTGTTATAAGTTTTATTTGAGAATTATATTGTACTCTATTGTGTATTTTCGTGTTTATCCGAAACTTATTAAACGTCACACGCACAATATATTCAATGTTTTTTGCATATACTCATCTCTCTTTGAAAAATATATGTAAAGATAACGAGATTTTTGTACGATGCAATTTTTGCTTTTGCATCTTTTTTTGATATCTAAATAAATTTCCGTGACTTTTATCGGTAATTCGTATAAATTTGATTCCTAAATATAAAATTACATTAAGAACGAAATTATAGAACCATAACGCATAGAATCTATTTACGCATACTTATGTATGTTTTATATAATGTACACTTAAATAATTTATATATCGCTGACACATACTGAGAAATTTGTAAAGTAGTTTTTAAGTTGCAAGCAGTACATCTAGATTGATTATGACATCAAACTAATTATATATCTCATCGTTACGTATATTGCAACAGAATTCAATGCGACTCGATCACACAAAATTTGTCTTCCGCATATTGTGTTGATTCAATATTATTGCCTGTATGTTTTTCGTGTTGAAGGATACAAGATTCGCGCAGCAATGACTTTGAATCAACGTGTGCGAATCACTTACTACGTTCTGTGAATTGTAAATAAGTTATTACGAACTCTGTCATTCCTGTGTGATGGTGCGACACAAAATCGCGTTATCATCGAAGCTATACTTTCGTAAGAACAATAACCTTATACAGAAGCCGGAACATCTATAGATTGCACAACCAACATTTACAACATGTAGCGTAGCATGTAAGATGAAGATCCGAATCGAGAGCCTTCGTTAAATAGACCAAATGTGTTTCTAGCACTTGTTTCGTAAAGAAGGAACTTAGAATAGTCATTACATACCTGTTATTATATCTTTACACGCTACTTATGCTATCTCGGTATTTTGTCACTAACGTAATATATTTCAAGTCTATGTCGATGTCGTGTCCAAGCGTAATTTACATGTATACATACAAGTATCATTTATTATTTAAAAGGCATATAATATAAAGCCTGTAATAAACTTATTCACATGGCTACCACAAAAAAAAACATTCTACTTTACTTCTCTAATATATACATATATATTACATATACTATATGTAATGTGTACCTTATTTTAATATACCATGTTCATTTCTTTCCTTCCTTTTCTCTCTCCCTCTCTCTCTTTCTCTTTTTCAATTACTTAAATGTTAAAACCAGTTTTTTATTTGTTAGTTATAAATTACCAAATTCATTAGACTAGGCTGTAAATAATCATTGCAATAGAAAATCCATTTATACACACTATTGTCGTATACGAAACTTAATCTAGTAATTACATACATTACACGAGACTGATCAATGCTCAGTCCGATACAGAATCCCTTGAACTGTCGCAGACAGTTTATAGATAATTGAAGCCTTTCGTGTGAGTTACCGTATTAGTTATCATCACTATGTTTCTCATTGAGTTTATCGTTATTATTAAAGAACTACTTCAATGACAAATTTATAATTTCTTCAAAAAGCTACCTTCTAATGTAATGATTTAATAGTAAGAAACATGTGATGTTTAATACTATCTTGCTGCTGTATCAATTATCTGCCTAAGTGCCAAAGAAAAGTTGAAATTGACAAAGTCTGCTTTCTGTGACCTCGACGATAATCATTTACTACTACGCATCAATGATATTTATACCAGTGCTTTAATACAACAGTCTGGCTATCTTCGCGTGGAAACGCTTCTTCGCACGCAAGCATTTCAATTCAGTCGCAAATTTAATCAAGCAAGCGACTTAATCGAAGGATGTTATCTAAAGATGAAACAGTATATATTTTATATAAAAATACATGTTATTAAAATCACGTCATAAGATTGGTGCATGTGCAAAACTCTAAAGACCCACACTTTTGTTCCAACGCTCTTATCGTATTGTTGTTTATTTATTATTTGTTTCACAAAATATTACTAAAAGTTTCAATATATTCCGGAAAAAAAGTCCTGCATATATAGTTGTGTACTTTGATATCTGATTATAAATAATTACATATGTAATTACATATAAGGTCTCAGAATGAGATCGCATACGCGATCTCATAAGTGATTGCATAAATTACACACTAGATATAAAATTTTATGGATAAATTTTTTCTAGTTTCTCGGTATCCGGTAAAAAATATTTCATATATACTTATACACAAATTAAAATAATTATATCTAATTATGCAAATTTATATGCCGAATATGTCCATACAATTTTATACATGGAAAATTTTTTACTGGGTATTTTAAACTTTTTGCATGAGAGATAACAAATATGTAGTAAAGTGATAAAGAACACACAAAGTATTTCATAGCAACAGAACCAGTAAAATACGACGCAAAAATTATAGTACGCACAAAAATTATAAAATAAAAAATGTACGCCACAATTGAATATATATTAAGACTTTTGAATATTCATTCCGAGAGTTACCTTGAACGATAATGTAACAAATGAAAAATTATATCAGATTTATAAATTTTTACGAAAGTACGAGTCGAGACGTTCAAGGTAACTCGGAATGAATATTCAGAAGTCTTAATGTACATATATTCAATTGTCGCATACATCTTGCATCCCATAATTTTTGTGCATACTATAATTTTTGCGTCGTATTTTACTAGTTTTGTTGCTATGAAATAATTTGTGTGTTTTGTGTCACTTTACATTATTTGTTATTTCTCATGTTATCTCTGAGAGATAACAAATATATAAAGTACGTAAAAGTACGTAAATATATAATGTAAAGTGATACACACAGGACGCACAAATTATTTCATAGCAACAAAATACGATGCGAAAATTATAGTATGTACAAAAATTATAATATGCAAAATGTATGAGACAATTAAATATTAAAATTATAGTATGCAAAATGTATGCGACAATTAATACATCAAGACTTCTGAATATTCATTCCAAGAGTTACTTTAAGACAATGTCAAACAAAAAATGAGAAATTATATAGATTTATGCACTTAGGACTGCGACAAACTAAATTTTTACAGCGATATTTGAAAGTCAGCGAAATTTTTGTTTCGAGATTCGGATTAATAAATAATTATAAATACGTTCACAATAAAAATAGGAAATTGTTAATACGACGTTAATACGATGTTATTTTTAATCTCTCATGTAATGTTTCAAAAGATTGATGAAACTTTTGTTTCGAGATTCGGATTAATAAGTAATTATAAATACGTCCACAGTAAAAATAGAAAATCGTTAATACGACGTTATTACGATGTTATTTCTAATCTCTGATGTAATATTTCTGCTTACACTTGAATCTTTTGATTAATTATTTTAAGATTTGCGACAGAGCAAAAAAACTTGCACATTGTATTTATACATTTGTCATAAGATCTGTGACAACAGAAAAACGTACACCCAGCAAACATAGAATATAACTATTATATAACATAGAGGTAACACGTAATATATAACAGCTGTTTTACTTTATTAACATTGATGTTATATAATTTTTAATGTTTTAAAATTTTAATATAATCATATTATATACCTATTATATTGCTTGTTATTAGCTGGTAATGACATTATAAGCAATATAATAGATATGTAATAGATTACATAAATGTTATATAAATTTTACATTACTGTTATATAACACTATTTATCAATATATAATTGTAATTTAATAATAATGAAACAGTTACATGTTATATTCATATTATATAACTGCAATGTACAATCAGTAGGAAATTACAACTAACATGAATGTTACATGCAACGACCATGGTATATTACTTGTTACATTCTGTTTCATTACGACAATGTTGCTGTTGTATATCTGTGTTTGCTGGGCATATATATGTAAATTGTGCGTTTATCGAAGTAGTAAATTGCATGAAGAAAATCTTGTATATTTTTTGCTCATTACGTAATTTAAATACAAGGCTGTAAAAATAAAAGTTGCAAAAATTTTAACTAACCGATTATATACATATAAAAAACAAAGAGATGAAAGTTCACTGAGTTTGTTTGTTGCTGGCTGCAAGAGTTTGTAATAAAACATCACGATCAAAGTTGTTCGTACATATGTAAATTGTAAGAATATTCGCGCGAGCCGTATTCACTTTTGTTCTCATCATGTTTAATTGTCATGTTGCACGCTACATTGACGCTATTGCTAAAATTATCGTTGGATAAAAGCGAATCTGTCTAGTCTACGCGAACAAAGCAAAGAATTCATTAAGAAAAAATCTATACAAGTTTGCAAAACTGTTTACACATGCAAATTCTGAAATATACTGAGTGTGTCATTTTCTTATTTCTGAAAAGACTTTTAAAGTCTTACTAAATTTTCATTTTTTTTGTTTTAGAATTTTTCTTCAATCTTTAATACGAAAAACTTTTGCGCACAAATTTCTGAAAAAATTACGAGAACGTTTTTGATCCCGGAAAAATAACACCCCATACAGCACACAAATATTGCATATACATTGCAGGAATCTTTTACCGCAATGTTGCAATGTTGCCGTTTCACTGTGAAATATTGATGCATCATTGTTGTTGAATTGCAGCAACGTTCAAATGGCCGCTTTTAGGGAGATTGCAACAAAATATCATAGCAATATTGCAACGAATGTAACAAATATGCAATAATGCAGTGTTACTGCAATCATTAAGTAATATTGCATATAAGAATAGTTTTATTTCTTATACATTGCGTTAAAAACATGAAGATATATGAAAGAAGGAAAAGCTTCGTATAAACAAGAATGCAATAATTTTACATCTAAAATATATATTATAAAACTACATATATAAATATATATTTTGTTAGATTAAAGTATTGTATTTGTGTTCAAAAAAATACAATAGTGTATGTATAAAATTAAATACAATACTTTAATTTTTTTAAATATATTATTTATATTGTATAGCTTTATATTAATATATAT